GCTCGTCGTAAATTTAACAATGGTGTTTTTTTATAATGAGACCAGTTTACGTCGGTGTGAAAATAGCGGAATTTACACGGCACAAACTGTCTAACTAGAGTCTTATTTCGGATCTACATTATTATCGGGGAAAAGATTCTTCTCCTCGGGGTTCCCCACACGTGCCATGGGGAAATCTCGTCTCTGTCTCTATATCTCGTCCCCTTGAGGTACGGGATCTGGAAAGTCACTTAAGCTTTACAGTCAAATAAGACACACACAACGAAATACGTTTCAACTCTTGTCTTAGTCGATCAGTCGAGCACTCTACAAGACACAGCGCCCTGGGGAAAAATCCCCAAGACTATCGCAAGACTGACCCAAGACTAGCCCAAGACTGGACTGCCTCAAGGCTCGCCCCAAGACTCTCCAGGACTGCACTGCGTCTATTGTGGTGTACACGCCAAGACCAACTAAAAACAACTTTATTCATTTTCAAAACATTAACCAATTACAAAGCAGTAAAAAGACTCTAAGGCGTAACCTTCAATCATAAAGCCAATCATACTAAGTACTGAATACGTCAAATCTTTTGATTAATCGTTCCCTACATTAATAATTGCGAATACCAACTGTCAGAATAGCAGTCCGAATAGCGACGGTTATCTCGTAATTAGTTCCAAATCACTGAGTCGAGTTCCGTCCAGGACTTCGCCTGCCTAAACGATGACAGACATAACACAGCAATTCGCTAGTAATCAACTAAATAAGTCGATCAACAGATACGCAAAAACAAATTCATCATATTATATACGTGTGAACTTGCACAGTATCCTAAACGCCTTCTGTCAGGAATATGTGTTAACTCATGGCATTCATACGAAAACGAATCTTCCGGAGAGAGCACGGAGTGAGCTTATTTCGATATGTTGAACATTTGGATGGGTATAATTTGGGGAATTTTCAAACAAAGTCCAAGACTTGGATACCCCATCTTACACTGAGAATATTTTGTTACCAGGTGAACTAATATTATTTATATATTATAACTCAAAGTTCATGTTGTCAGGTGCAAACATACAGTGATAGCCACAATACATTTGATGTACGAGCCACGGAAAGTATACTGACATCAAAAGCACACAGATGAGAATGTACTAAGTCACATGGGGAATTTCATTTCGTAAGACCTATATAGTGTCTTATATACATTAAATATTTTAAGTCGATATATTTTGTAACATATATATAGCAGTGTGAAGCAACTGACGTTAAAGACATAGTTCATCTTTTTGCAATTACTCGCATTTCTTCATAAAAGTGGACTCTTGTACATATTGACTTTTTCAGCGTTTAAAAATACAAAAATGAGTGCATATTCGTTAACACATAGTTTGTTACCGCCACGAACGTTGAATACTCTGAGTGAATTATATATGCATTTTAAACATAAACTTAGTTTGTAAGCATTTGATGCGCAGATGCCCTTTCAAACGCTGAACACTCTGAGTAGTAATAATCTTTACTATTATGTTTTGAGAATGATACATTTGAAAAAGGGAATTAATGCAACATTTTTAAATTTCGCGGATTGTCGAAATCAAAAACAAATGAAGCAATCTGCCAATGTCTTGTTGATTTCCGACACGTGCAGCCTCCAACAGAGCGGGTATTTCCTGCACGCGCACCAGTATTACACAATAACTATTTGCAGCTCATTGCAGTCTGACACCCAATCAATGTATCCTTTATTTTAAATACTGAGTAAATAACCTGTTTCCAGACAGAAAGTTATACAAAAAGTATAGTCCTTTAGAAAACAAGTGTTTTCACAGCTTGCCGTACGATCAAAGGAAAAATGTCCATATAGGCAACACCGTTTTTGCCATACCAATCAATGAGTGCTCAATAAAAAAATGTCTGATGACAAAAAAAAAATGTAAATGTAATATGCATTTATTTTTTTTTAAATTTTATTGTAACGAAAGTATATTTTAAAATAAAAACAAACACAAATGCATACATATAATTTTGGTAGCGCAATCCGGTCATGCTGCGATTCACAATTGTTGATTATTACTAGTACTTTGTAGTGATTATAATAACGTACAGAGAATAATTTCATCGAATTGTAAAATGCATTCCGGTCGCATGTAAACGCTCTATAACTATGGTAAAACCTAAATTTGAATCTAATTAACCATTAGGCGTGAGGAAAGTTTGAAATGTCCCAAAAATGACTCCTAAATTAGAGATTTCACGGTTATCACAGTCATTGTATGAAACTAGTGTGTGTCATGATGTACTTTCTTATTGATTTTACGATCGTGGGTCAGGGGTGAGTGTTGTTTTGACTGGCGTATTGTGATTAACATTCCAACATGAAACAGAACATTTTCTCGTATTTTGGACTTACCGCGAAATTAAAACCACGTGAATATTTTTTCTATTTCTTCAGTATGAGCATACCATTAACCGCTTATATCGTGTATGCCTTGGCCGATTTCATTCAAACTTTGCATTTACGTCACTATGGTAGGTCACTAATGCATGTCATTTGGTTTCGCAATTTGATTTAAAATGGTCGACTGGTGGCAATTTTGTTTTGGTTTAAATTTTTATTGTTATTTATGTATATTTATGACCGACTGGTGGACATTTTTCTTACATTTTTGTTCCGTATGGTCTGATTTCATTCAAACTTGTTATGAACAACACGCACACTGTTTTGTTTTGCCAAATGTATGTTTACATGTTTTCTCCCAAATTCCATATGCCCGGGATTTCAATTGTTTTTTATGGTTTTGTTTTTAATTTGTTTATGCACTTCATTAAGTTCCAAATAGGAAAATTAATATTAGTGAAAAACATAGTTATACCACAATATGGAGAATGCTAGTCGGTCTTAATATAATAAGCCAGTAAACTTCACATGTATGTGTCAAGTAGCGGGGCGTACAAACATCATATTCATCCAGTCCTGCGTTCCAAAACGACTGCACATGCCGATTACCAAATATTATCTTCTATGCACATGCCGGTGATCATCGGAGTACACATTTTTGGCAAATGGCAAAATACTAGTAGGTAATCTCACTCCTCAGTCGAAACCAGAAGTTCCTGTCAATGATTTCCGGGCAATGACATGTCTACTTGTTAATTGTCAGGAACTTAGGGGTTCCACGAACTCTTGTTTACACCGGTTTCGTGTACGACCTCAAGTGACATCGATGTGGGGGCGTTGTCCCCATTAGCCAATCATATATGTCGTTGCGTCAGTGCTAACCAATCAGTATCGCCGTTCCTCCTTATTGTTCTATAAAGGTTCGAGGCTTTCGTGTTTGGTGACAGAAGCAAATTTCATATCGAATTTTTAACTATTTCGCAATACCGAAATTTATTGATGTTTACTCAAATTGTAGACAGTAAGTTTATTGAGAATTGAACAAGTTTTTATTAATATTCGGCTTAGTTAAAAGGTGTATCGTACCTGTTTACGTCGTTGTTTTTACTCGGGGATTTCCTCGCACGGTCAGCTGATTTGGACTGGCATCATCCGGCCGGTGACAGACATCAATTTCAAGGTCATCGATTCTGGTCGAGAGAGGTTTGACTGTTTGTATTAAGATTGGTAAGTTGGGAGGCGGTATTGCAGTGTAACAGAAGCATGTACTACATTATAGAAAAATAAGATGGAATGAAATGACATATAAACGACGATGTATATCGCAACTCGTGACTGAATCCCTGCTGTAACAGCTTGTTCATAAAACGTAAACAACCAACTAGAAGTGCAATGGGTGGTTCTATGCTGTAACCAAACTGATTGCGCAGTGATTTTTTTCTTCATTTTGGAGGTTTGTGGAATTGTGATGTGTCTCTGTTAGTGAAAGTTACTCTGCAAATATTGTAATTTTATGAAAGACGTGAAAGTGTATCCTAGCTACGCAACGAATTGGGACTTTTGCCAAAGTTGCCAATGTAACACTCATCTTTGTATCGAAAACTTCAAGCGAGACCCGGGATAAATACCATCAAATTTTATGTTTAAATTTATTACCTTTATTTTTAGTTTTCACCAAGGTTTTTTTTTATTTAATTTTCTTTAAGATGTTGTTGTACATATAGACATTTTTTTGGTTTATGAAGTTTCTACTGATTTATTTATGGTTTTACTACTGTACAATTTATCTGTCATTCGCACCCAGCTTAGAACTTGTCCCAAATCAAGCCAAGATGTAATCAGGAATGTTGCCATTGACAGTATTAGCACTCAGTGAAATACCAATAGACAAAACTTGTTATTGTTATTATTAGATGAAACCAGATACAACAATGCCAGCGGCACAAGGTTCTGAAATAAATGGTACAAGTACCACTGAAGAATTACGGGATGAGTTTTGTGATGCAGAAAACCCAGTTATGGTTCGTTTTCAAGATGTCAGTGCAGCAGCATATAAGATTAAAAATGGCATACAGAGGACCCCATGTCAGGTTAGTGGCATACTTTTTACTTGGATTTCAAGGTTACATATAGGATATACTTAATAGTGTATTTATATTGGTAAGAATTCTTTTGGGAACCCCTGAATGTTGTTACCAGTGTGGACCTTGTACCAGAAACCTACATGAATAGTCAATTTAATGGTCATGCAGTCATTGACTCACTGCTGTCTTAAAAGTAACTGAACATTAACTAAGTATACTTATTAGTAAAATATATTATATTATATCATATATGATATAAATTTGTATGCATTGTGAGGATGGTGTTGAGGGACGGTGATACAATGCATATAAAATGTTTGTTTACACAAGTGAACTGGATGCACAAGTATGGCACTTTAGTAATTGTAAACTATAACATATCTTCATGGAGGTTAAAAGAGAAGGAGTCACAACCAAGCTTAGATCAAAGGTACCAGGATGGTCGCCGCTGTTTGTACATAGATCAGGGAGTTTATTTGCCGAACATACCAAGGAGAACAGTTTCCGCTTAGCGCAGTGAGGATTACGATGCATTAGCATACTACAGACGCCTTCGACAGCATTCGGTGATTTTCGTGACAATTCTAGTCAAATTCTTATAAACAAATATGGCGACGATCGATAACACGCACAAGTTTAACTACGATGCTGAAACTGCTATATGCTTTAATTCAGAAGACGTAAACGAAATCGAAGAGCATATTACAGACGAAGAATTGTTTTGCATATGCTGTAAACAAAAAGATTGCTCAAAAACAAAAAATGCAGCGAATTTTTACCTCCATGCACTGCCATAGGAAGTAGGACATACACGGGATATAAACTTCAAAAAGTGTCATTTCGAACCTCAAAATTCAGTCTCTGGTACAACGCGGTGCGGTCTATGTCATGCACCATTGCAAAGATCATTAAACAAGCTTTATTGTGGACTTAAAAACAGTACTAGCAAGGTTTCGAAACATTACCATATTGCCGATTCAATAATACAACGGAAAATTTTCTGAAAAACGAAAAATTACATAAACTTAACAAGAAATTCTCTAATTTTCAAAATTCCAACGTTCCCGTTCTCACAAAAACGATTCCTCTACGTATAAAATATCTGCGCATGCTTTATGTCCTTTAAGATTTACTGTGACACCGTAAAACAAGACCTTGAAGTGTGTACTTTACGCAGCAATGCTTGAGGGTAAATGACGCGTCAGCAACGATCCTGGGGTGAAAGGACGATAAGACAAAGGGAATTATGGGATTAAACTTGGCTAAAACAAAATAGGTTTAGAAGGATTATTTATATTGGCTGTGACTCCTTCTTTTTTTACCTCCATGATATCTTTTACCAAACTCAAACTCAACCGCATTAGCACCCATGTCTGGTCAAGCACCCAGCCCCCACTTTACATGATTTTTATGTTCGGTGTCACATTTGCTAAAGTATCCACCCCTTTCAAAATGATGAAAGTTGTCAACTCTTAAGTCTAACTCTTTTCAATTTGTTTATTAATGACCTACCAGGAATTTTTGATGCTGCAACATGTAATCCACCCACACTGGGAAACAGTAAAGTTGGTTGCCTCCTCTTTGCGGACGACATTGTCATCCTTTCAGAAACAAAACATGGATTACAAAAGAGCTTAGATAATCTTTCCAAGCTGACTGTTAATACAGAGAAAACAAAAATAATGGTTTTCAATAAAAATAATCGTCTATTAGACAACAATATCTTCTTCTATGAAAGTAAAGAAATTAATGTGGTGTTAAGCACTACAACTATTTAGGGGTTGTATTAAGTTCGAACGGAAAATTTAAGGAGGCAATGAAAACATTAAAACTAAAAGGCCAAAAAGCTTTATTTAGTTTAAAAGCAAAACTTGGACATAAGGCAAATTTAAATCCACTTACAATGCTATCCCTTTTCGATAAACTAATTAGACCCATACTAGTTTACGGAAGTGACATCTGGGGTCATGAAAGCACATACAAATCAAGTGTGGAAGAAATTCACCTAAACTTTTGTTGTTTTGTTTTAGGAGTCAGGAAGAACACATCAATCTTGGGTATTTATGGGGAACTGGGAAAATACCCACTTGACGTATTCATCAAAAAACAATTAATTAAATACTTCAACAGAGTAATGAATACATCAAATGAATTGGTAAGGGAGGCAGCAATTATGAACAAACAACTAAACAGCAATTGGTACAGTGCCATAACTACACTGTTAACTGAAATAAACCAACCACAAATTATCGAAACAACAACTATACTGAACGACAGAGAAACAAAGAAATTAGGTTTGGAAGTTGAAAAAATATATAAATTATACTGGAAAAGGGAAATTAACACACGGACTGATGTTAACCAAAATAACAATAACAATAACAGAAGAAATAAACTGAGAACGTACAAAAATTTCAAAAATGAATTTACTTTAGAAAATTATGTGATCAAAATAAAGAATGCCGAACTACGTGAATGTCTAAGTAGGTTTCGTCTGAGCAATCATAAACTAAAAATTGAAACAGGGAGGCACACCAAACCAAAAACCGAAATAGGAAAAAGAATCTGCGAACTGTGTTCAAATAACAAAGTAGAAGATGAGTACCATTTCATGATTTTACAAAAAATCGCGGAAAGCATTATTTGAAGTGACTACTAAGCACATTATAAATTTCATGAATATGAGTGACTACAATAAATTTTTAAAATTAATGGGTGATACAAATCTGAATGTATAAATACCAGTTGCCCAATTTATCAAAAATAACACGAACCTTAGACAGCAACATCTTCTGGCAAATTAACATAAATACTTTTCTCCTTTAATACGTTTTTTTTTTCTCATTTCCATCTTTCATTGATTTACTGTTTATTGCTTTTTTTATTATTATTATTTCATCTATTTTTTTTTCAATATTATTACCAACATATATCAATAGTTTTTTTGTAATTGTAGTCTGTTGATTTATTTTTTAAACCATTGTTGTGCTTTAGACAGTAATTCTTGTAAAATTTGTATGTTTTATATATGTGTTTTAGCAGTTAGTGTAACCATTTTAATTCTTTCTGAGGAATTTTAGTGTTTCAATAAACCATAAACCATGGTCATAGTTATTAAACTGTGTCAATGAACATGTCCTTTTCAACAACAAAATGTGCACAATTTTACTGGTCAATTCAAGCACAAAACATCATGGTGAAAATTGCTTTGCATCAGGAGTGCTATAATGTGCATATTATGTGTTTGTTGACTCCTGTGTGCGAAGCACAAAAAGGGAGTCTTTGCAGTTAGTGTGTCTGTGTGTGTGTGTATGTGTGTGTGTATGTGTGTCCGACTGTTCCACTGCTATCTCAAGAACCATACATTGATTTTTGATGAAACTTGGTGCATAGATGCTCTGCATAGATTTCATTAGGTTTTGGTAAAAATCCATGCATCTTAATAACCTAATTTGCATGATAATTAGCTGATTTTTAGCTGTTCCATGACTGTTCCACTGATATATCTAAAGAACCACTCATTGGATTTAGATGAAACTTGGCACATAGATGCTCCAAACTAATGCACAGATTTGATTTGTTTTGGGTAAAAATCTGTGCAATATTAATTACCTAATTTGCATAATGATTAATTGGTTTTCGGCTTTTCCACTGATATCTCAAGTACTAATCATCACATTTCAATAAAACTTGGTACATAGATGTCATAGAACACTGCACAGACCTGAAGTAGGGTAATATCAGTACATAATAATTACCTAATTTGCAGAATTAATTAATTTTCAGCTTTTGATATTTCAAGTAGTAATCATCACATTTCAATGACACTCGGTACATAATTACTTAAAGTGCCTGTGCAATGCCCACCCTCACGTTTCCCATTTGAGATCTGTATCCCACTGAAATGGGCAGTTATTGATTTTTTTGCTGAAAATGATTACTTGTATCCAAGTAAATTTGGGTTATTTCTCGTGTTGTAGCCACGCCCACCTATCCTGAAACGGTCGACTGTTTCCGGATTTCCTACTCTCGCCGAAAGTGCGCCACTAAATGCCAAAATGTGAGAGGAAGTCATACCCCTGAGCCGTAATAACACTGGTCATTCAGTATACTTTTAAACGATATACATTTTTCAGTCGGCGTTTTTTTTCTTTCTTTTTTTGTCTATTTTCTTTTTTTTTTTTGAGAGAGAGTTTTTAGATGTTGTGTTGTGGGCAGTTTCAGTGAAACGTATAGTCATAGTGTAAGTATTAACACGTTTCTAATCGATCCGAAGGTGCGACATCAGTGAACAAAAGCCACTTAACCTCAGATTCATATTTTGGAAAAACTGTCCTCGTCCATGAAAAAAACAACTAGGTTTAAAGAGAAACGCCGACAACATAAACCTGGCGCAACACTTTTGAATGCAATAGATTCCGGACCATGATCACCGAGGCGGATTTCAGAAGAGAGATAGACGTCTGGCAAGTGTTTCAAATGAGTTGACTTTTTTGCGATCCTGATTATCGTTTTATAGAGACCATTTAGTCCCTGTTAAGTAAAAGGTAGCAATAATTTTGACAGTGACACGAAAACGAAGCGTCGGACAAACAGGAAATTACACAGCCCTTACACACTGCTAATTGTTTTCATTTTCGAAGGCTAAGAGTTTCTGAATTGTTTGGTGGTTTGTGTTGAATGTTGAATTCACACCTCTGTTCTTTTTTTACCTCCATGCTTGCAGCTTGATCTGCGTAATAATTTCTGAAATAAGAATCCGGGCTTGGTCAATGTGTTTCCACCAAATAAAGTTTTAATATGATGTTATAATTATTACAATCACGCCATGGATCATGCTAACTTGAATCCACTCTGAATTTATCTGTATGTGTGTCGATCTCGATTATTTTTGTTATCCAATTAAACGCCGCTTTTAACGCACTTGCCCTCGTCTTGACCCAACACGTTCACCTATTTCAACAAAATTTCAATTTATTTCCAAGCAGCTGTCATTTATTTAGTAACTGTGATTTGTCGTTTTTTAAATTATTTTATAGTGATCACTATGGTCTAATGTTTAGAATGTCAAAATATGTTCTCTTTTATTTTAATTTTGAAAGTTTTACTCAGACGATCGATGAAATAAAACAGTGTAGTGATGTGCCTAGTAACCTGCTAAATAACGAGATTCCGACGTCAAATTCTATTTTGTCCAGCGACAGTGTACAAACGTGCGCCGCTGACGATCACGGTGACCAGCTACACCAGAACGAACATATTTCGCATCTAACTCAACCCCATGCAACAAAAATTGATACTATGTGTTCATTATGGTCCATTCCCCCTCGACAAACAAGTACATAAGTGAAAATTTAGTCAAAGACGAAAAAACTGCAGAAGAAATTTGCCTTATTTACATGTATCGGCAATGCAAGCTGCCATGCGACTTCCCCTTCTGACGTCACAAGGGGAATTTCTATATGCAAATAAGAAGCTAATGAGGAGCCTCATTTTAAAATACACAAAAATAAAGTTGCCGTAGATTAAGTTTAAAACACATTTTTTCACTTAAAAAAATAATTCATGCTTAGAAACATAAAAAAATAATAATATTTATGTATCAATGGATAATTTTAGGCGTGAAAATAGCAGCCATTTCACAGGCACTTTAAGGACTGTGCATACCCCTGATTAGTTCTTGGGTAAATATTTGTGCATATTAATTACCTTATTAGCATAATTAGTTAATTTTCAGCTTTTTGCCTGATATCTCAAGTACTAATCATCATATTTCAATGAGACTTGCTACATAGATCTTCTAGGACAATGCAGAGACATGATTAGTTTTAATTGGATATTAATTACCTAATTTGCATAATGTTCCACTGATATATTAATAAGAACCACGAATTGGATTTTAATGAAACTTTTAAAGAGAACTATGCAGAGACCCAATTAGTTTTTGGTAAATATTTATGCTTATTAATCACCTAATTAACATAATTAATTAACACTGATATCTCAATTACTGATCATCATATTTGAATAAAATGTGGTACATAAATGCTCTAGGACAATAGACAGGCCTGATTAATTTTGGGTTAAAATTTGTTCGTATTAATTCTCTAATTAGCATAATAATTCATAATTTTTTTGTTCTGTTCTTTTCATATTATTTACCTGATTTACATAATTAGTTTTCAGTTTTTCCATCAATATCTCATGTACAAGTAATTTTTAATGTGTCTTCAATACTCTCAGCAGATGGGAGTACTTTCTAAGCTTTCTTTGATTTTTTCATTGTTTTAAACAAGTAATATAAGCCTCCAAACATATCACGTAGTTGATACAAATTTACATTTTGGCAGTTTTCTTATGGAGTGTCCATTCCTTAAAAATCATTAGTTCACTGGGCACTTATACTGTCAAACAGTATCTCATCCAGTTATGTAAATGACCAAGGTGTGTCTATGGTCTGACTAATTTTCAATGATTCAGGAAACAACAAATGTATTTTGGGATTTATGTGTAGTTTCTGTTAGAGATTCACTCCTTATACACTATTATTATACATCTGTCACCATAACGGCATAAGTTACAGCGTGCCGTAATTTTGCGGTATTTTACAGAGAATTTTCGTTCTACCATATTAGGAAATGCAAATTCCAAATATGGAATGATTACGCTTGTAAGCGTCCTCTAATAATAAAAACAAACATGGCTTCCATCATGGTTTGACTGGACTACACACAAAGAAGTTCGCTGATTCTGTTCTAAACATTTTGGATTTCGGCATTCCCATGATTTATTCTTGGAAGGAAAAAATGTATAATAATAAGGTTATTACGAGAATACCGGTACCTCAAAGTATGCACTCATACAGTACGCCATACATCAACACACACATACTCAGGCTATACTGTCTTCATGCATACTTTGAGGTATTTTCATAATAACTTTATATTATTGTTTTCAGTGCTGGGTGTATAATAAATGTAAATTTTCATTAAGCTTTCACTTCCAGTTCCCTCTTTTCACCACAAATTCAAAAGGAAAAATGTATAATAATAAGGGTATTCTCGTAATAACCTCATATTATTATTTTTCTTTTAGAAATCACATATGTCAGCAATGACTGGAGTTGAAATTTACTTCAAGAAAGAATTTCTACAATACACAGGAAGGTGAGAATGTTTTTTTTGATTATTTCATTGTCATTGATAGTTGTTGAATATGATAACTTGTTGATTTTATCATATCATTTTCAGACTGCATAGTGCAAACACTGCAGTACTTTGTGTTATTGTAAATAACCTACACTAGATTTGTGATGACTCGTATCTGATGCGTCAATTGGACTTAAAATTGAAAATTAGTTAAATGCAACCAGCTATTATTGGATAGCAATTATTATTTGGTAAAACAGTCTGTTTATACAAATTTATCAGGCAACTAAAATAATAAGAATAACAATTTACTAGACAGTTTTGCCATCTGATTGTCAATCTGAAAATTTAATAATGTTTTCAGGGAGCCAGAGATGTTTTTTTTTTTTGATAAAGACACCAATAATTTTATGAGACAAAATTATGGTGAATAACTTTGAAATTGTTTATGCATAATGAAATTATGTTGTGATAAAACCAAAACCATGACACCCATTTCTTCGTAAAAAAAATAGAGCATTTTCTTTTGTGTTGCAACATGTGTAGTGTGAAAAATATGTTTAGTTAGAAAATTGGAAAACTGCCGGGGCTGATAGGTATATATAGGTTTTGGGCAATGGACTTTCCTCAGTGTTATATGTGAATGAAGGCTGATGGCCTAGTTATAAGCTTCCTATCTTATTTGTACTATCAGTCCTGCCTCTGACACACCTCCAAAACAACAATGTTTTATTGGTTGCAATTGTTATCGTTAGTTGGTGTATAAAAGCAAATAAACAATGATACTGTTGTGTGTATGAGTTTCTTGGCTGAATGATAAATATACATATTTCGTGAATGAACTGTGGTTCACCTTAGTCATACATGTATTTACAATCTATGACAATAACAAAAACAACTCTACAGTGTCAAGGTCAATCAAGTGTGAACTACAGATACTAGATTACCTTAAGTGTAACCAGTATTTATTTCATATGTTATGTATTCAGAAAATGTAATACATGTACTTGGTTTTCTTTGATTCATAATTCATTTTTTTCAAATCTGAAAAGAAACATTTATGGAAAACATGTCCGTTTTTAATCCTTATATACTTTTCAGGCAATCAGTTTAATTCTCCAAACAAAAGTCTGCAAATTAGACAAGTTCAACCACCTTTCAAAACCAATTAAAAAACAACTGCACATGCACAATTCAGTACAGTTCAAAATCAGCTGAACACTTAACATTTTTTTCTCTGCTTCTGTTGGAATAGTTTTTTTAAGAGATGACTGTTATCTCAAATTTGTTTTTTCAAAGCAGACCCTTGCAAATTTGTTTTTCTTTTTTGACCTATCAGTACTCTGCATAATGTTATTTCTTCATGTACCTCTTTTGATCCCTATATACCAGAGTATGTTCTTCGTATGCTCTGTTTGTAGCACAAAATGATATTTTAGCGGATTTCAGTTGACAGAACTATAAACCCCTATAGTATATTACAGATTATAAAAAATGAAAAGCCATCAATTTAATTTAATTAACCACTGCTCACATAATTCAAAACATGATCTCAACCAATGTTTTATTTTTTTCTTCACCAAGTTTTAAAGAAAGGGGGGCTAGGTACACATTGTTGATGTTACCAGCTGAACAGAGACAGGTTGGTGTAATAGCAGCATCCGCTGGTAACCATGCATTGGCACTCTCATATCACGGAAAAGATCTGGGTATCCCAGTGTATGTTGTCATGCCGATCATAGCACCCATTATGAAAGTGAGCTTGTGTAAACAAAATGGTGCTAATGTGATTGTGACTGGTACTGATCTTGGTGAGGTAAGTGATTGCAAAATTGAAATGTACCGTTTAATGTTGTTTTGCACATGTGTATAATAAACATGTACAATCTGTATATATTGATTGTAAAATGTAGTATTGGAATAACAAGCATGCTTTAGTATGTTTTATTTATCCTTAAATACAGCTAATATTTGCTTATGTGCTGTATCTGTGACCTGATGTCACAGAATCTGAGAATAACTTTTCATTTCTGTTCTCCTCATAGTCCAAGAAGCATGCCATGAAGCTTGCCAA